AAAGTTAGTTTAGCAATAAAATATTACAAATTTAATAATAAATAATATGAATCATTCATTTGTTTATGGATAAGATACTTTTATTTAAGTTATATTAATCTTAATTTTACTTGAAGTTATAAATTAATTAATTCAAATATTTTTTTTTTTTTTTGTATATTTTAAAACAATATTATGAGTTTAAATATTATAGAAAATGCATAGAATTTAATATATTTTTATTTTTATACGCTTATTTTCGGATATTGAATCACTTTTGTAGGTCATATGAATAATGCTACTGCGATATGTTTACAGATAAATATGATCTAGAGTTTTTATCAATGATTTTTTTTTCGTGTATTTTATCTATTTTTATGCCTTTTTAACTAAAATTTCCTGTAAAAAATAAATTTTTATCACATTAATACGCCCTTATCTGTATTAATCAACATAGACTGATGCGGCGAGATCGCTCATCACATGGATAATAACTAGTAGTAGGGCCGGATTTGCCCATTAGCTAAAGAAGCTGCAGCTTAAGGCCTCGAATTATGAGTCTATGGCTTAGGGCCTCTCATTATTATCATTTGGCGGAGGGGGGAAGGGCCTGTTACACATTATAGCTTAATTAAGGCAACAACAAATGTAAGTCCAGAAGCGATCTTTCAATAACAATGATAACGAAGCAAAATATTAATTTTTAAGAATTGATTTTCATATTATGTAGTAGAATTTTTAAATATTTCATTTAAAATTTGGAATTTTATTTTATTTTTCCGCCATAATACTGAGTTGTTACTAGCTACAAAACTGTTCCATGAGATAAAATGGAGTCAAGCGGATACAAAATTATGGTTAATCTCCATCTTTCTCGGGAATATTTCGTAATTACACGTGATATAAGATGCTAAACAATTCGTAGAACGAGAGCGATGTAACCTGCTTTTAAGTATTAACCTATATCTTCGTGGTAGTGTGAAGGTGCAGTGTAACACCATCCTACTTGCAAATTTGGTTTGCTGGATTATTTGTTAAAATGGTTGCGAACTTGTTTATCTTTTAATTTCATTGCATTAATATCTATTTTTAAGGTTTTTTTCCAGTATTTTATATCTGTACTCACTCTCATAATAATCATAAAAGTATCTTGTATCATGCATTCCTTGAGAAAATTGATGTTGTAACCTAGAATTTTTAAAATCTAACTTAAATCTGGGCTTTTATAATCAATTATTATGTTAATTTTAATGTTATAACGTAAAAAATTAGAAGAATGGGGCTTCATTTCAGTGTATGATTCACATTTCAAGTATAATTCACTAACATTACATGGTGTGGTGGACTAACATATCAATTTAATTATTTTAAATAAAAGCTTAATTTAATTTAAAATGTCACCGATTTAAATTAGGTTAATGACTCAAAATATTTTAGAAAAATAATTTTAGGATGTTATAGACTCATAGTTAATGATTCCGGAACCATTTTGTTGTGATGACCTTATACAATGTATTGTCAACAACCACACCCAATCTCAATTTTAATTTTTATACATATAAAGATTAATACTAAACTCTTTCTTGCTTCAAATTTCTTTTTAATTTTATAGTAAATTTATAGGTAAAATTGTATACTGTTTTAATAAATAATTAGTAAAAAGATACAGAAATCTACTTTAAACTTAACATTAATTTCAAGTTGAAATGAATACTGTAGGTTTGTTTAATTCTAATTTTTTTTTATTATTAATAATGCCTGCAAACGTACCACCCAATTGTCAATCTTAAGTTTCAAAGAGAACAAACCACTCAGCAAAAGTGCTTTGTTACAGATACTATCGATATCAATGTAGATGTATCAGCTTTTAGAGAGAGAGAACATTCATCAGCAGCTCGTAATATGTACTATACAGTAGTTCAATGCAAATAAAATATACTTTATCTACCCTGTACTGATGTTAGATATACAGTACATAAGTACAGAATGGAGTAAGTGGACTATAAACGATGATTCAGGGTGGAGTAAGTCGTCTACAATCCACCTCACCCACTCGGAATTACGGTTTAAAGTTCAGAATTTAGTCATTTAAATGTATTTATTATAAATTTAAATAACGGGTGGACCAAAAATTAGTTAACTATAAGTATTTAAATGAGAACGTCAAATAATTATATTAATCACGTTTTCATTAATTTTATAGAAAGAAAAATACGTTCTAAACTTATGAATCCTCAAAACACGGTAAACTGACTTTTGGGTTACCCTTTATATCCGAAAAGCCAGCACACCACACAATTTTTTCGATTTATGGACATTTAAAGTCATAATCGTCTTAACGGGATGAGGGAGCCGATCACGGATCTCGTGTTTTCTTATAAGAATACTACTACAATAACACTAGTGTGTTTGTACTATAAAACACGGTAAATTGACTTTTGGTCCGACCATATATTAAAAGAATCAACGTAACGTAGACAATTTTCTGATATCCATAGACTTTCGAAGCCGCGATCTTCTTCGTTACTTCGGATTAAGAGCAGATAAACTCGTATTTAATTGTAAATAAAACTACACACACAAATAATACTACATAATATTTATTAATGAATAAAAAAAAAATACAAAAATGATAAAATGACAATGAGCTTTGTTGGTGCTTTAGCAATATACATATATATAAATCCATACTAAACAGCGCTTCGGTAACAATCATTATCAATCAATTAATCAAAACATAGAATTTGGACCCAGAATATTACAAAAAGAATTACAATTCAGGAAGTCGAGGAATATTTTTTGGTCCAGTTTATGTAAAACATCACATTGCAATATTTTTTTTTTTTGATTTTTGATATGATTTTTCTATGCTTCTGAACTGATTTTAAGTTTTATGTATCACATCGTAGATGGACGGATATTATTGCTGCTTTACTTTATATATTTGTATGTATGTATGTACAGTACATAAATGTATAATTAAAAACATAAATTTATTAAATTTTACGAATAGACGTAGACTAGAATTAAACATATGAGCGATTAAGTGTAGGCACTTTCGATGTTATGGAGTTAAGGGAGGAGTTTTCAATTTACAACTGTTGATTCCCAGTGATAATTGCTACTTTAACTTTAACTTTTCATTTGGATTGTCCGTTTGTTTATTTTAAGAATTTATTTTACACGTTTCTATGCGAAAATTAATGCTTGGTAATGGAAAATAATACATCGATGGTGAAAAAGCGCTTCGAAGGGGCATAACCAAAATTTCAATCCTTAATTTATACTTACTCAACTTTAATTAATCCCGATTTATTTTTGCCTAATTTTTAATTTTAGCTTTTTAATTTTTTCTAATTCCTTCGTAAAATTTGGCTTTCTTAATATAAAAACAGTATTATTTTTGTCTTTTTTTTTAAAATTTATTTTGAAAAAAAATTTGCTTAATCATTAACAAATAGCCAACAAAATTGGCAATTTAACGAAGTTGCATCGAAATAAAAAGTAAAAATTGAAAAAAAATAAAACAAAAATAAAAGTTTAATACTAAAAGTCCGAAAAAAGATGGATTTCGGACACGTGTTCATCAACTTTCGAATCATTTTAAATCATGTGACTAGCACGTTTAAGAGGTTTTGTTACCTTCCCCATAGCTGGAAAAGGAGATAGATTGGCCTTAATTTCGGTGCGTGTTGCGCATCACACGGAGTAATTTTTAATTTAGAAAGCCAATTAATTCAAAAGAATCCCTGAATGAGCTATTTTGCTTATAGAGCTCGCCTGGTAAATCGGCTTTAATACAATTGATAAGCGAACCAATGGCGTAGCTCTTTTCAAATGAAATGGACTATGTCATTGGTTCTTCTTACCTATATTAAAGCTGCTCTACCTGCGCCCATTGTTAGAGCGATTTCACGTGCAAGTTAACAATTTCGATAAACAACGTAAGGAATAAATTGATCATTTGCATAAGCAAATTAACGGTCTCCATTCTTTTAAATCTATAAATTAACAACTCTGTAAGTGCACTTGAAAACTAACAAATCTCCTACTTCTCACCCTAAACTAACTATCCATAAGACACTCTACTCATTAACTGTTCAATAATATCCGCATACATTAACAGATCCAACTCTCCCTCAAAAATTAAGACTCGAGTTAAATCACCGCATTTTGCCCTCCAAATCTCAAATTTTGCCCCTGAAAGTAAGCTTCACTTTCGAGTTAAATCACCGCATTTTGCCCTCCAAAAGTCAAATTTTGCATCTCAAACTAACAGCGCTTGCAACGTAATTTTATAATATTGCATATGACTATTGCATGTGATATTTAATACGAGCAATATTCTAGTTTCTGACATAAAATCAGGTCATTCCACATAGATCGAAACAATGACTCAATCAATAGCTTAACATATTTATAAAAATGCCTTATGAAATCTGCACTGGCCAAAATATATTACACACGTTGATATACAAATATATCCAGTTATTAATATAATTTATATAGAGCTATATATATATATATATAAATAAAACCTAATTATGAGTTGTTAGGCTAAATTTCTGATAAAAATTCATCAGATTTATACAAAAAGATGTTATAAATAGTGAAAAATGATGTGCATAATAATGACCTAGTTTACAAAGTTGAGTTTTTTGTATGTTAATCATTGGTTATTTTGTGAAAAATAAAAAAAGTCCTTGCACAATTCTTGGAGGATGTATGATATGAGTTATGAATAAATCCCTGAGATTATTAAGTGATATAAGATGCTAAACAATTCGTAGAACGAGAGCGATGTAACCTGCTTTTAAGTATTAACCTATATCTTAGTGGTAGTGTGAAGGTGCAGTGTAACGTACATACAGAAATAAATTATTTCTCTGACAGAGAACGTAGAAAATCTGTCAATATTTGAAAAGATTAAAGGTTTTAATCTTTAATCTAAGGGCTTTAAATTCGGGGCATTGTGTTTTTTTTATTTATTTACTTTTGGAGGAAGAGAATCAANTTTGTATGTTAATCATTGGTTATTTTGTGAAAAATAAAAAAAGTCCTTGCACAATTCTTGGAGGATGTATGATATGAGTTATGAATAAATCCCTGAGATTATTAACATTTATAAAGCTGTGACAAACACAATTAAGAAGAATTCTTTTCGTGTAGATAAGGTTCAGTCCTGGTTGTTTTCTTACACAAAAAATGTAGAAAATGACGACTTACTCTTTTTGGACCCCTAACAATCTGGCAGCCGAATCTGCTGAATCCAACATCTCGTCTATCATCTTCGAATCGTGGATTCCTAGCAGCCTCTGCAAAAAATCCGTGCCTTCTTCGTTCTCTTGCGCTGGAGGAGCTTGTGTCACAGTTTGTGTATCAGGCCTCGTGTTGTTAATCGACTGCATTAAGTATAATAAAGAATTTGGGCTTCGATTCCTGTCGCGAACAGACGAACCTGCCATAGCTTGTGAAACTTCACGATCTGTGCTAGTGTGAGGGGCCAAACACGATGACTTGCTGTTTGTTATATGGATGACCATGTGATGGGTAAAGTGATCCACGGAATCGAAAATTTCGGGGCAAAATGCGCAACTGATTTGTACAGATCTGCTATTATTCGATTCGTTTTCTTCTTGCTTTTCCTGAACGAAGTCGTAGGAATCACTGTTGTAATGATCCTGAATGTGTGCAAAATAGTCCTCTTTTATTTGAAATGTTTTGTGGCACAAGTGGCAACAGAACAAAGCATTATTTTCCTGGGTGTTTGATTGGCTTAGCTGCGAATCGTCTCCAACGTGGCTGGCTTTTCTGATGGCACAATTTGTTTCGTCCTTCTGAGAGTTCTCTCTTTGAAACTTAGATAGAGATAAAAGATCCAGTATATGATCTTTTCCGAAGCCAGTTTTGGTGCGATGTTTAAGATAATAATGCTTACGTAAATTGCCCTGAGTAGAAAAGGTGCTACTTGTGCATAAATTACACTTAAATGGACGTTCCGGTACACTTCTGCTGCTAAAATCACTACCCGTGCTATGTTTACGTCCTAAATGTCTCTCGCAATTTGATTTTGTAGTGAACCAGACAGGACATTTCGGGCACTTGAATGGTTTCTGTCCAGTATGAGTTAGGACATGTCTACGAAGCGAGCTGCTCCAGGGGAATGTTCTTTTACAGTAGGGACAAGCGATGCTATTTGGAGAATCTGCGTAAGAACTCCTTTTCTTACGATTAGTCTTGACATCGTTGTTCGAATTTGGTATGTTTTTATCGTCTTTCTCGTCAGTTTTGTCGATTTTCTTACTTTTGTTGCCATCTAATTTATCTTCGCTACGTGCATCATTCAAAAACACTTTAAATTCTTGGCAGTTAGCAGTATCAATTACATCAGAAATGCTGGCCAAATCGATTGCTGTCTCCTTTTCCTTACTCTTTCCAGCAATTAAGAAATCTTCGTTACAAACATCCGAATTTTCAGCTTTTACTTCTATTAGTGCGCTGTTTGTATAATCAAAAGCTTGAGTGTGGCATTCTTTTGATGTTGGCGTATATTGCTGACTAGTTAATTTATTATTTATAACGTGTCTCAAAGCATTTTTAGTTTCCTGTTTTACCGAGGGATTTTGTTTCTCAATATTTGTAACAGTTGGGATATAATTCCTACTTCTAGTGGGTCTAGCAAATTCTGGGTGCTTGTTCTTAATATGTCTATCCTTGTTTGACTTTATAGTAAATCCAGACGGGCAATAGTTACAAATGTAAGGTCGGTCGAGTTTGTCAATCGATTTAACTTCTGGAGACGACTTTTCCATTATATGTTCAGATAAAACTGACGAAATTTGAGTTTCGGTGCTAAAACTCAAAGAGTAGTTGTCGTTTATCATTGTTGTCGTATTATTATACGTGTAGCTAACACTCGGCTTTGCAGTTAAATCTATTGCACGAACACTTAGATCAAGTGGTTCTATCTGTTCGGGAGGACACACTCCTGATAAGGAAACCAGTCCCGTGACTGCGGTTACTATATCCTCGTATCTCTGCTGCTCGATGTATCCGCAATCAACACTGGGCATCAAACACTGCCTGAGCGAAAGATTCAAAGGTTGTTCGCTACTTTCTTTGTTGGCATCAGAATACGTAGATTCGTGATCGGAGGTATCACTTTTGGGTGTCAGCCTAACAGCTTGATTGGCTTTATTTTTCATATAGGGATGCTGTTTGTTTATATGCCTAATGCAATTATTTTTGGTAGAAAATCCATTATTACACAGAATGCAAAGATAAGGCTTATGTTTACAACTATTATTTACTGAGCGAATGTGATGTCTTAAAACTCTCTGATTCTTAAAATCAGTATAACAATATTTGCATATGGTTTCCGGGTTGTTGTTCTCAGCAGAAGGCCCATCGCAGTCTTTATTTTCTACCATATTCGGGTTATATCTGACAGTACGTGCAATGTCCTCCTTCCTGAAAATTTTATGCCTGTGTTTTATGTGCCTTTCGCAGTTGGCTTTTGTCGTGAAGGCATAACGACATTTGATACATTGGAAAGGGCGTTCGTTATTATGTGTTCTTAAATGACGTTTTAATGTACCTTTATCCAAACTGGAATAGTTACATTTGTTGCACGGAAAGGGTTTGTTTTGAGCATTGTTTTTATAATTTCCCGAATCTTTCTGAACATTGTTAGATTCGTCACTTTTCTTCTCTTCGTTATTATCATTAATGGCAAATTGTTTATCGGCATTTAAGTCGGATTCCTCTTTTTGAGGCGTCTCTGGACTTGCTTGTGCAGATACGGCAAGAAGCGGTGATTCCGGATGTTGACAAGAGACAATTTGAGGCTGAGGAGGAGAGGCTGGAGTGGCAGTGACGGGTGAAGATCTTATAGAAGGCATCAATGGAGCTTTAGAAGTTAAAGATATGATTGACTGAATATCGGCGAAATCACTGCTATTGGGATTTGCTTTGTTAGGTTCGGATTCATTTTTTTCTTTCAAAGCCGACGGTTCTTCCTGTTTTCCATATAGGAAATACGACAAACTTTCAAAGTGTTTTTCTTCTTTGATGGAACTCAGATCGGTTTTAAAACGATTTTGAAAATTTGTCGTCTTCAAACCAAAAAGTACCAAAAAATCACTTTTTGTTGTCTCAAATTGCTGCGCGTAATTGTCTGGAAAGAAGTGTTCCGTCGATCTATGCTTAAACAGGTGCTCGTAAAGGTATTCGGGAGTTTGGAAATGACATTTGCAAGTGGGACAATAAGTACCACTCTTATTTAAATGCCCTATTTTGTGTTGATTTAGTGTTCTCGGGCAGGGAAATGCTTTATTGCATATTTTACACTCGTACTTATGAAAGGCACTGCTGGGTTTTCTACTTTTCTCTTCACATTGAGCTTCTGCTATAAGCGGAAATTTCTTCAAGGAAAGAGCAATTACCCCATCCACCACATCGTGGAAACCAACAAAAGATTCCGAAGTGGGAAGTTCGTTTCCGTTTCCATTATTCGAATCGTTTACAAGGCACTGATGTTTGGTATATGAATTATAATCGTCCAAAATTACACTACATTCTGGACATCTAATCGGACTGTTAGGATGAGTTACCATGTGACTTTGAAGGTCGCATTCACTAAGGAACGTCTGACAACAAACAGGACACATAATTTGCTCCTTACACTCTTTATCTTCTTCTATATTCGCTTTCTTTACTACAGGCACGGATTCTGCATCGGAGATGGCTTTACGCTTGGTCGGAACCTTAAATTTTGAAACGTCTACTTTGTCAGCGTGGGTACGCATGTGACGATGCATATTACCGTTAGTAGTGAATGCAGTATCGCAGAATTTGCATGGAAAAGGGCGCTCACCCGAATGAGTGAGCATGTGACGATCTAGAGAACTTGCCGAACTTAATTTCTTTTTGCACACAATGCACGTGTTAGACTGATTAACGATGTTGTGTTTCCTAATATGTACTGTAAAGGAATGTGGAGTAGGAAAATCTCTTTCGTCACAAACGGGACAACACAACACTTCTTTTGGATCAGCGGTATCCTAAAATTGATTAAATAATATTTAAATTGTAAAATTGAATTGTGTTAATCTACACAAATAAAAACTATTTTTTAAGCCAAATTTTTGTTAAAAATCTAACATTTTTATATAAAAGATATATAAAAACAGCCTGGCTCTATCCACTGATCAGTGTGTTTCTCGGCTCGTCAATAAAATTTTTTTACCAAGTTTATTACAAAAAATATCTGTAATTTCTCACCTTAATTAAATTCTAAGCTATTTTACTAGTTGAATTTAAAATTATAATTATTGTAGAGATAAAAGTTAACGCGCTACTAGACTAAAAATGCATAAAATAAAGTTAAATACTCCTAAATAATTTACAAAATTTATCAAAGATACATTAAAAGCGTGCATTATATAGCTTAAATACACTATTTCTAAATACATTATAAAAGATGTCTTTCAGAACTGCATAATATAGCTTGAAAAATGCTTCAAAATGACTTACCTTATCCACACAAATTCTCTTTCTGTCACTGGAATTGGCTTCACTATTATCGGTATATTTCTTTTTATTTGGTCCCTTTTCTATTTTTGGTCCATCAGTTATCACAGAAGTTATTTTATATTCCTCGTCCTTTCCATAATCCTTAAATCCTATGCCACATCATAAATTATTTTATTAATTAATTAGTTTTAAATGTGATTTTTTAAAAAATATCTTTAAAGAATATCTCTTCGAGTAGTTAGAAATATTCACCTAATGGTGGGACGAACACGATTTTTCCTTGTCTAAGATTGCTGATACCGGGTGACATCGTCAGACAGGATAACTGGGATGAAGCATTGTTCCGTTGAGTATTCACGTGAAAAAACTTGCCACTCGCATCATTTTCTGTAAAGAAACAAACATATTTTGATCAATATTGCATTAAAAATAGAACAATTTAATCCAGTGTAAATCAAATTTTGTTTGTAAAGTATTAACTGTGCCGTAATAACTTAATTTTGTAAGAGTCGGGCGACGTGTCGCGTTGAATGAATCGCGACACGTCGCCCGTTCAGTTTACGTGACTCATGACCTTATAAACATATTTTATTTTTTTTAAATTGTTTATTAATGTGTAAAAAACTTAATAATTAAAACCTTTTTTGTATATTTTTAACCGAAAAAGTTGAAATAAGCGTTTTTAAGTACGTAATTTGGGCGCGCCGCGTTGCGCCGCAACGAGTACGGTGACGTCGCGAGTGAATATCTCAATTAAGTAAAGAATAATGAATAATTTATTAATCACATCTATTTATATTATGTCTAATAAACAGATTTATCAAGATAAAATTTTATAACAACAAATTGTAAGAAAAAAAACAATACTTTAATCATCATAATTCTGGAAAGAGGATTTTATAAAGGAAATAATGATAAAAATATTATCAATGACATCATCGTTATTATTTAAGGATATGTCATGATATCAGATATGTTGTTTTTTGACATTATTTTACTCGAGTAGGTCTTAATATTTGGTTAAATCGGAGCAAAGATGATGCGGATGTTGACAGCGAAATGGAAATTATTACGGACATAGAGTGATAAATTGCAATAAATTACGAAATTTTCTAAAATTAAAGTTTAAAATACTTAATATAAATAAAGATTACATCGAGGGAATTCAGAAACTCGATATAATGAACAGATTATACACAGTTTACGATCGAGTAACCCCGTTAATAGGTCAGTTCGTGTCGCGTCAAAACGCGCCGCTCCAGATTAAGCAATCTACAACATTAATAGAGACATTATTTGCACTTATTTGAATCAAAATAAGCAAAATTTATTAAATAGGTTGGGTAATTAATATAATTTTGTCAATGGATGAGTTAGAGCAATAATATAGAGAAAAGATAGATGCGATGCCCGTCGCGCCCGTATCAAATAGTTATTTTTACATATAAAAACCAGAATGTTATTGAATAATTATTACTTTTTTGAAGTTTTTATAAACGTATCCTTACTTAAAACTGGTTTTAATTATCGATTTTCGGATAAATTAACAGTATAAATGGAACAATTACTTGTGAAGAAAAAGTGCTTCTTAAACAAAAAAATGACGTGAAAACAATTGCAAAATTGATTTGCAAACATATTTCAAAGATTGCTTTGTTGTTTCCTAACACAAAATTCCGGTTATTTGCATCCCAGTTTGATGCTGATGCATTGTTTTCAGCCGGTTTCATCTGTCGCGTCATTGTTTATAGCCACCGAGAAAGACAAAAATGTGCTAAGTAACTCGTTAAATTCATTATACATTAAACTGAAACATAATTATTTTTTTAAAAAACTAGATAATTAAATCATAAATTTACAAGAAAATTCATGAAAGTATTCGCTATACTAATCTGTTTGTGAACCCAAGTGATGCGATTAATACCACAATTTTCATTTAATTATCACATTAATTGAGTCTAAATCGATTCTGTTCACATAAAAACTTATTTATGTACAAGAAGTGCAGAAAGAGTTAGCTTTTTGGGCATTCTTACTACAATTTCGTTATCTTACAGACACTGTACGATGAAAGCTCATAGATAACAGCGTACAGATTTAATCGCTTCTGTACATAAAGAACTAATTAAGAAAAGGTGTATTTATTGTCATAATTATTACAGTTTTTAAAACATTCTGCTCGATAAGAGGATCCGGAACTTAAGAAAGGAACCGGAAATGAGTCGTGGGTTTTTCGTTGGAGTGACTTAATGAGTCAAGTTCCCGTGAGACATCCTGTTTCTTCTTTTGCTATCGTATATTAAATCCCTTCTCCTAAAATGTTTATTTTTCTTTAACTACGTTTCCTACTCAAGCAAAACCACTTTCCGTTCGATCATTTGGTTGCCATTTTTTATTTTTATCACCATCCTTTTCGTCTACATTCGCACCAATCGCAAATAAAAACAAAAAGTGTTCATCATGGAGAAACGGAAAACGATTTATCCTTTTTTTTCCTACCTCCTTAAAATTCCTTCAGGATGATTAAAATGGTATTTTTACCTCCCAAACCATCCAAAATATGCTTAAATTTTGATTTTTTTAGAACAATTTTATGTGGTTAGTATCGTGATCATCGATTTATGACCCATACATTGCGTGTGATGTTACGAAACTTCCAACTCCGAATGTCAACTAACAAAGAAAAAACTCAACTTTTGGACAATTTCCAAGCCGATTTTTCATAAGGAATATGTGAAATTTAAACATAGAACATGCAGAAATGGTGTTAAATTTGAAGAAATTCTTAACAAATTACATAGAATATGTATATTAAGTGATGGGCGGAATAGAAAAAGTTACTCCAGAAACACGAGTTTTACTTGTCAAATTTGTTGCTTGTAATTATATTTTCAAAGTTAAATTATCTTATAAATATTAAACGCTATAAATATTAATCAGTTATGATTAAACAAAGAACATTTTGCGAATTTTTGATGCCTTATATCGATATATTTTCTATTGAAAGGAGACGTGCCAAAGTCTCTTCCAAGGTGATCAGGCAACTCTGTCCTTCATACTCCACTTCCTTGACATTTACTTCACTTTCCTCCCCTTAAAATGTCCAGTTGTAAGCAATTTAAGCCAAATATGTGTATGAAACTGTGCATCGTTTATGCCCTAATCTATACATCTGAGACGAACTGATGCGGGTTACTGCTCTAAATCAAATTCTAAGCTTTGTATCCTCCATTAACCGAGTTTGAATCGTTTCTGTACATATCGAAGCTTAATTATGTATCAGTAATTCGGTGATAAGCTCATTTCTAAGTACAATACACATTTAAATAGGGCCGTTGAGAGCCGGGGAGAGTATAGAGCAGGAGGTAGAGCGGGTCGTTTTTGTTATTTTCTGAGCAGATGAAATACGTGGAATGTTTCTTTTATTTAAAAAAGAATGCAATCTTGAAGGTCTTATTATTCTTCAGTAAATATAATATTAATTTATAGGAGTAGGAACCACTAAGGGCCCTAAAGTTTTCTCCAGGAACGGGAAAAGTATCCAATCTCCCAAATTAATTTAGTCAAAAATTTATTCAGATTCCTCTCTTGGTGGCCTGGCAATTAACAACTATTACTTAAAACAAATGCATATTACAACCGTTCAGGCCCGCAACAATGGTACATAACCACCAGAAGCATCGCTTAAGTTATATAAAAATAACTGCACGTAAAAGTTCATAAATATATATAAAAAAAGACATTAATGAATCTAGAAGTATTTTGTTGATTTTTGAGATAAAAATGAATCGAAAAAATCAAAAATCAACTCGATTAAAGAGGGATTTAGATAAGAAGATTTGCATACTTCGTGACATGATACCTTGTTCTGCATTCTTATCGTGATTGTAGCACATCGCTCATACATCTCGTGTAGAAATTTATTAGTTGTAACACTAATTAATCGACTGTTTTGACGAATTAAACCTCGAAAAACCATTTTAAAGCTCGAAAAATAATTGATTTTTCCAGTTAACAAGTGACTTCTTAGCATCTCCAATAGCCACGTTCTTCACAATTTAATATCATTTTTCAATTGTTTAAGTTAAGAAACAAATCTAGTGGTTGCCACCTAACGATTTAGGCTTTTCCGATTAATTATTTGTGAGAAAAAATATCGAAATATTCATTAATCTTATCGGGAATAACTTCAAAAAAGGTGTTACTTATGCCTACAAAACTACATTAATTACTAAAAATCCGTCGAGAAATTTGGATTTTTATCAAGGTAATTTGATATAATGTAACGTGGTGATCCACTTTACGAAGAATACAAACAATAGAAGCTCATATAATAATTGTTTAGAGGCTATTCCATTTAAGCGCGCGTCGCGTCGCGTCGCTAGTGGATCGCTTCGCTCGCCAGAATGGTATATCTTACTGATACCCAGATAAAAGCGTAACGTAGCAAATTTATGTATCGAAATACCTTTATAAATTATAAAACATTCTAAATTATGTACAAAAATGGAGTGTAGTTATAATAACTTAAACCGTATTTTAATTACAATAAGTAAGGGTAAACATTTAAATTTAAATTGCAATTAAACAACGCCATATTTCGTTGCGACGCGTCGGGTCGCGTACGTTCTCCACGCAGTGAGTGCGCATAAATAACATAAAAATACTTGATTATACTTTAAAAATATATATTTTTATTTACGTAACGACAAAATCAAACTGTTAAACTTCGATTATTTCATAAATTAACGAAGAATAAAATGAAATTTTAACTAATTTAACCACTTTATAAGTCATACTCTTCGAAAATTTGCTCATCCTTCTAGCCTCAATTCTAAAAATGGTGATCATTCCGCTTACGTAACATCATGTAGAACAACGAGAGATGATTCATGCGTTAAATCCCCTCAGGTTAAATTAAATATAACGCTTTAAATTAAACAAACATCCTTCTAAACTGATCCTGGAGTTGTAAATCAGTAAGTTTGCCTTTCTTTGTAACTTACACCTTTTTTAGAGAAAAAATAATGAAATTTACCTTATATAAAATGAAAAAACAAAACAAAAATTCTCTAGAATATAGACGGTAATTTCACAAAGGAACGTAACGCGAGCGCAAGTTTGAACCATGCAACAGCCAAAAAATGAAAATTTATAAACAACGGAGCATAAAAAATTCTGAATTATCTGATGGATATAAAGATTATATACAGGAAACTAACAATTTTTTTCCAAGATAAACCCCTAAAATCTTAAGCAAAGCGGATTATTATCGTCCATCTTGAAGATCCCTATCGTACTTCAAAGTTATCACCTTTCAAAATCTAATTGTAACGTACAGGGTGGTTCCTGACTTGTGTATATATGCCCCGGGTAAATTAGCTTTA